GAGAAACCTGCTGCGAAGTGGACCAAAATAGTGCTCACAGCTTCTTTATATATATATAACTGGTTCGGACAACATGATGCTGGAAAGATGCTGGGGTACCAAGTCACTTGTGGATCTGGTATGGTCCGGACGATTGGTAGATCCACTTCCCAGCTGGCTTCACCCATGTCCATCCCATTTGTGCGCCCGAAACCCTTTTTCGCGTCCCGAGAAGCAGGCACCGGGTGGGCACGGGCAGATCCCTGGGCACACTCGTGCGCTTTTCAGCTCCGCCATTCGACTCGATCTTTGAGGAATGGACCGGGCTCCCGGACAGAACATGATTGAGATCAAGGCGAGGACTCGGTTTCAGCGATCGTTTTCGACACACGAGGGATGGTGCAGTTTCGCCGCAGTGGTGCAAGCGAAGAGGGTTTCGCCCCAGAGCTCCCCGTCGAGCTCTGGAGTTGGTGGAACGCACGGTGGGGACCGTTTGCGGTTCTTGGGAGAGGAAGGTTTCCGGTTCTTCATGGGTTAGGGTCACCTTCAAGGTTCATGGAAAGGCCAATTCTTGCGTGGCAGATATGTCCAGAACATCAATGCTCTTGCACAAGGCTGCGGGGGAATGCCGCACTTCCCATCTCCAGAGCCCTCTTAAAGTCTTTTCTTGGTTGGACGTCAATCTTTGGGATCTTGGACAGTTTGCACATAGACACCCCCAACAGAGTCTTGTCAAGAGGTGGTTTCTTCTTTGGGCCTTTACCCGCCGAACATATTTGAATTATTTTGAGTATATATATATATAAATAACAAAACATATATGCTATATGCATCGTACTCTTGTTTCTTCTCAAACGAGACGAACTCAAGATCTCCAAGTTACCTTCCCAAGCTCGGTGAGAACATACGGTAAATTGTGCGTGTGTCACATGTGTGTCTCTGTGAAGCACCATCCATCGTAGTTGTTTTAGTCGGACCAGCGGAAAGCTGGCAGAGATGGCAAAACCTGCAAGTCACTTGAAGGTGCTGAAACAAGGACTCTCTGTTTTTTAGAAGTTCTGCCAAGAGTTACAATCGTTTTCTTCAGGCCAGGAGATGCGAGGAGGTGCAATCGATTAAAGTGTGTATTGAAATTGGCAGCAAGAAGCTACTAGGGTGGAGGCCATCGCTCTTAGGTGGAGGCCATCGCTACTAGGTGGAGGCCATTACTATTAGTAGCAAATAGCTACTATAGTAGCTTCGTATTAAAATTGGGAGACCTCCCAGGGGCATTCCAAACCTCCCAGGCCACCGGTGGATTTCTAGACCAGTCTACCCAGCCGGGGCCGACGGGATCGGCTGCATCGGCGAACGACCTCAGGGTGATGTGGCGCAAAGGCTCGAAAGCAATGGTGTCCCGAGCTCGGTTGAGCGCGACGGGTGCAGTCTGAGTATTTCGAAGGGTTTGTTGAAACATCCGCCCTTCAAGAATCTGAAGATTAAAGAAAACCTTTCGTACAGTAGTTGCCTGTTGATTCCTATTTGTTGCAATTATTCACACACAGCCCCCAGTAAAGGTGCGGGCAGTATCATCACTGATGCCTCAACCCCCGCTCTCTCCGTCCTTTTGGTGGATTCCGTTCCGAGCCCCGAAGGTCCAGTCCAAGGGAACACGCTCGTCGAACCGAGAACGACACGTCGACACACCGCTTCGGGAGGACGCCGGAGGCTTCGGGAGGACGGCGGAAGCTGCTCGAGACGGTCGAAGACGGTTTCAAGAGCAAGAAGTGGCAAATCAAAAAACGATCCACAAATGGTTCCTTCCTGTGATCTATTGGATTTCGATGGATTTCTTTGGTATTTCTTCTTTTTGGAGGTAGGCGCACCAACGTAGACTCTTGATTGGTAAAACCCCCATATTTCAGAGGTTTAACAATCCGTGTCTGGTGGTTTTTTGATAAATCAAAAGTCTCAGTGGTGATCCACTCTATTCAGGCCCCACCAGGACCAGATCTCGAGCAGAACCGAGGCTATGGACCAGATCCGAGCTCAGATGCGAGCAGGGAGACTCAGGGAGACTCTCCCAGGACCAGATCTGAGCTCAGGGAGCTGTGCTGGAGACCCAAAAATATCGGGGCACGACCGGACCTTCTTCCCCGGTGAAGATTTTCTTCGTTCGCGCGGCAGGGATGAAATCTCGGGGGAAGAGCTTCTTCGACGAACATCCGGTTGACATGGGTTGACATGGGTTTGTTTTCTTTCGTGTTCTGGGTACCCCCCGAATCGGGGAAAATCCGCCGAGCTGAAGGTTTTCGAAGGTTTCAGAAAAGTGAATCCGGAAAAATGCGGAGGGAGCCAACCCTTCTCACAAGCCTATTTGACCAGATAAGGTTCACTCAGGGTTGATATTGGCAAGATGACCTTTTCGGACAACACGGAAGAAACAACCAAAAAGCAGACCATTTTCTCCATCACCGGTCGCAGATTTCTCAACACTTTTTGGTGGGAGCTTTTTGGGGTGGACGCCCAATGGCTCTGTGCACATCATAGATTCGCCACTGACCACCATTTTCTCGGAAGAAATTGGTCACTTTTTCTTCAATCTGATTAAACACGCTTGGTTCGATGGTCCTTGCCTACTCAGTAGGGCCCTTGGCCGGGAAAAGGCTGGTGGGGTGCATCATCAAGGAAGCTCACTTCCTGTTCCCTTTCAAAGCCGAGTGGCCGCGAATTCGGAGATGCACAAAGGTGCACCACCATGCAGAGCAAGAAGATAGCATGCTGTGGAGTTCCCATTTCAATGACAAACCCAAACTGACACCAGCGCGAACCAGCCGCTGGTTATTCCACCCTCTTAAACACAAGAAGCCTTGACAAGAACACACAGACACACTCAAAAAGATTTGCAGGACCTTGAGGGGTACAAGTCTATCCACGTTCTCTTGACAGCAAAGGTTGTCCAAAACATCCAAAAACAAGCAGACCTAATCTGGCAGGGACTCTGGCCCCCATCTCCATTCGCAGTGCTGAATGTGGATTTGTCGTTCTTTCTGAAAACATGTTTAAGCCTTGGAATTTTCCAGGAGATCTCAAGTCACAAGTCTCCAGTTTGGCACATTTGGCGCAGCCAAGTGCACAGAGAAGCAACTCTTTCTCACTGAAAAAGGATACTAGATACTTTGCTTCTGCTAACTTGTTGCTGTAGATGCTGCCTTTGTTCCGCAGTCGGCGCTGCTTCTAGGGGTCTTTGTTTCTGAGCATCGACGTCTGGAGTTCCCAGGTGGAAAATCCACGTCTGCCACCACGAATTCTGTCAATCCCAATTCGTGTTTGGAAACGGCCAAGTTAATATATTTTCCCAGAAAAGACACATGTGAATCGGTGGGCAGATGTAAACGCAAAACGTGTCGTGAGAAAGAGCCTGAACATGGTGTGGGTCCCGAGCCGAAGGGTGTCTGACTGGCCCATGTGGCCCATGTGTCTGGGGGCGCGACCGCTTCGGCGACTCATGACTTGGACATGACTTGCTTAAGCGGCGACGACATAGACACTGCGCGGGGCCCGCTGAGCAGGCCGGACTGTCCGAGGATCGTTCCCATGCACTGTCCACCCCGCGGGTTTGAGATGTCGCAACCCATGTTCCGCGCGGCTGAAGTCAGCCCGAGGCCAGTGTCTATCGTGCTCTTCTACAGGACGAGGAGAATTTTCGTCGAAGAAAAACACTGCGCGGCAAACTCTGCTGGGATAGGCATAGGGGCGGGGAATACCAGGCTGCAGACTGGCAAGGGGCTCAGAAAACCAGTGGTTTGCGGAGGGAAGTAGTGTTGTTGCAGGCCACCTATTTTAGGTCTTGCAAGGCCCCCTGTTGAGGTTTGCCAGGCATTCCTGGGAACCATTGTCACGTTTATTGTTTGTTTGGTATGCAGGTTGTGACAAGCACAAACTCTTTATACCCCAACAACATTCACATAAATAGACCAAATCAACTATATAACCCCCCAATAGAACAATATTGAATTACTGTATATACAAGTCTGGGAGTTTCGATTTCTGGTTCAGGCAAGGATCTCCAACTTTTTGTGCCCATGGTTTCGGAGTCGAGGCCTATTTTTCTTTCCCACCCTCTATGAAACATGTCACACACGCTGGCCCTTCAAAGATACTTTGAGGGTAGGATGCTTCAAGACTAGAAGAACTCTTGAAGAAAGATGCCACTTGCTGAGGACCCTCAAAAAACCCTGGTAGCATGCCCCTGGCCCCACGGCCGTGTATTTGGATATGGAGACATCCTGAGACATTCGTGGCCCCATAGGCAGACAGGGGGTCTATGTTCCGAACCTTTCCACAGAGTCGGAAGGCGCCCCGGGAGGTCTCCCTAGCGGAGAGATACACACCCAACGTGTCCTGTTGAAACCACATGTCCCTGTGAAACCTTTGTGCACCAAAAGAAAGAAGTGCCCTCCTTTTTAAGTGGTATGTCCGATTTAGCTGCCTTTGCTCATGGCGAATCCCAAAGCTGCTTTCCAATGAACATTCCGGAACTGTCAATGAACATTCCCATGAACATTCCAATGAACACATTCAGACATTCATGGAAACCAGTCTCCAGAGAGGAACTTCTGCAGTCGACTCGTTGCAACCAGACTCATCTGGACCGTCGGGAGAAGCTTCCCCGATGTGTTCGATCTGAATGTCACCCCGTCAGGACACCAGCGAGCTAGCGCACGAAGATGATCCGCAAGAGGTGTGGTGCTGATGGCAGTGCGGATGGTGTGTGCTGTTGGATGTTGGATTCAATGGGGGGTGCGGATGCTGGTGCGGATGGAGGGAGCAAAGGATTTGGAGGGTATCCATATTCCATCATATTCGCTTGTAAACTGGGTGCAAATGAGCTACAGGGAGTTCCCTAACCACTTGCTAATTGCAATCCTGGATGTGAAGTAAACTATTGAGCCACATGAGTCACACGGCTGATATCCAGATGAGCCACATGCGTGGCACCTTAGTTTTGGATGCAAAAGATATGGTCAGTTATTGTTTCAGTTGTTTCATGATGCAAAAAGCACATCAATTTTCACTAAAGAAATAAGACACATGGAGGACATCAATAAGATGATACACAGTAACATGGCAAGACATTTCTTTCACGACAGCCCCCATTTGCGCTTCTCTTAGATTACGATCCTGGAAGAGCGAAAAAGGAAGAATTACTCGCCTTCATCAACACATTGGCATGAACATAGTTTAGAAGAATCCAAATATTTTGATGAACATTGACATACCAACTCACTTACTGTATAAACGTTATATTCTTTATTGATTTCTTTTTCTTTATCTTCACTCGTCTTTGGTCATGGGGGTCAGGTGTGAGACGAGTGAGACGAGTGAGACGAGGGAAAGGGGAAGAGAGGGCTTCGATCCTGGGCCCCTTCTTCGATCCTGGGCCCCCTTACACATCCAAGTCTTTCAATCATCACCTACATATTAATGGCTTGGATGTCTAAGGGGGCTTGAGGTCGGGCCCAGCGCAAAGGTGCTCAGGGTCTTATTGTCAGGCCGTTAGCTTCTTCGTAATCAAGGAAAAGAAGGAATCGGGACACCCACCTCCAATATTTGGGCTGTAAGCATCAGAACGCATATAACTCTGACCAAAGCCCTTTCTACGGCCTGAGAGGGCAGGCGAAAGGAGAGCACTAAAGAGGGTGCTTCGAAAGGGCTCAGCAGAAAGTACTCAGCAAGAACACACGATAGATCTATTTGCATATATCATAGATCGTTCTTACATCCACCAGATACTGTAGATCTTTGGCCATTTTCCTGAGTCCGTCTGGTGTGTTCGATTGTCCCGCTCAAGGCTCCAGTGCCTATGGTCTCATTAGTGTGGAGCCAAAGATGGTGGCACGTAGACGTGGAGAGGGTACAGGAGATCTTTATGACAAAGATGAATTAGCTAAAGTAGCATTAAAAAATGTTATATATTATATATTATACTATAATGTAATTACAGTTACAATACTAAAGCAAAAAACAATACTTTAATGTAGGATCTGTATAAATGTAAAGTAGTATAACTATATATATATATATGAATAAATACACACAGTATTTAGCCGTGCTTTTTTTGCAGTGAGTCAACAACGTCTGAACAATTTCTTTTTGGACTTGAGTGTCGGTGCAGCGAAACGGATGACACGATGTCCCCCGCCCAGTTTCTTCATCCCACACCTTCTTCCATCGGTGGGGCCCAAGGTCACGGACTTCCTGGAGCATTGGGATCTTAGCATGACCAAGGAGGCCGTCTCAACGGTGGGGATGTCATACGTCCGTTCCTCACCAACACCTCCGAGACGGACAGGGGGGGGGCGAAGGTGGCGCCGAAGCGCTGGAAGCCGAGGCTTCGTGGTGGTTCTTCGACTGCCTAGTCTCTCTCTCTCTCTCTCTCTCTTTGGCACTCTGTGACGTAGTGCATCGGTCCATAAAGTCAGTCGTTTTCTCCATGCCTGCTCTGAAGCACTGGGGAGAGGGGAGAGGGCTAGGCGCGTTTCTGGCGGCACATCCGGAAGATCTGCTAGCTGCAGATTTGGTGCTCAATTCAAATGGTTTTCCTCTTTTTCGGAGCTCCATGTGGTCCATCTCCTGAAGCACTTTTTTTTTTTTAAACCGAACTTCCGACGCTCGATCGTGTGGGAGGAGCACGATTTCCGTGGCGGAAATCATCGGCTTTTGCTAGGAAGAGATTGAACATTACTACCGGAGGTGAACCTTTGTATATACCTGGAGCCTGAGTGACCTCTATTTTGGAGGATCAACTATCCAAATATATGGTCTTTTCCTATCAAAACAGAGTTCAAGTGAGGCTTTAGGCAGATGCTACTAGAAGATGGATGCAACTGAGAGGCCGAATCAGCGGTTTCTGTCAACTGAGAGGCCTGAAACATGTCTTTAACAGTAGAAGATGTGCCTTTTTCACATGCTTTTCCAGTTCTTTGATCCGGTTTTTGGGGCGCGGGCAAGAACACCACATGTGGAAGGACGTGGAAGAAACAGACGGGCTCCTGGTGCAGGAGCACATACTCCCCTGCACTTGGTTGCGGAGTTCCTTTTTTCTTGGGTCAATTCTCCCAACTCCATGGGGATCCGTCCCAAAGGGCACAGGATCCGTCCCGAACGCACGTCATTGGATCGAACGGAGACCCGGGTCTCCGAACGAAAAGCGCTCTCGGTCTCGGTCGGATCGACGGAAGGTCTTCTTGAGGGAAACGACTCAGACGCCTCTGGCCAGAGATGAGTTGGTCAAGGTGCCACGGGACTGGTCGGATCTGATCAGATCGGTCGGATCGGTGTCTAGCTTGTTTGGATGAAGACAAGGGTTAGGTCAAGAGGTGAAGAGCAAGAACTGGCTTCAGCTTCTCATCTGAGAGCTTGTTGTAGTGGAGGCCATTGCTAGTAGGTTGGAGGCCATAGCTATAAGGTTGGAGGCCATCGCTAGTAAAGTCCTATTCCAGCTTGTTTGAGTCGAGGGCCGGCAGAATGCGCGTCCTCTTCGCAGGAGCTGGCGGTGCGCGTAGAGGCTCCACGCTCCAACCAGGCAGTGCTAGAACAGGCCTGGCAGTGCTAGAACCAGAAAGGGGGATTGACCAGAAGGAACTGGGGGTGAGAGGAAGGTCTTCAATCAACTAGATAGGCTGGATCTAGGCTGGATCTAGCAAGCTGATCGCAGCATTTTGTTTGCTTTGCGATGGTATCAGCGGGCCAAGCGCCCGCTAGCTTTGATTGGTGTATCCAAGACTAGAGAATGTGTCTCTTTGTCTAACAATCATTGACGTTGCATGTGCTTGCAACATATTTATTGTGTTTTCTGCTCTCACCTGCTCAGTGTCCACAGCGCTTCTGTCTTCAAGTTGAAGTGACCCAACATCCTACACTTCCATATACATGTATCTCGTCTGCTGAAAGGTTGCAGCCTTCATAACTAGGACGAGCATCCCAAAGACAGATCCTCACTTTTTCTGAGCAAGCCGACCAATGAGCACTGTCAAAAGAATGGCTGCGTGCCCTTTCCAAACCTAAGGCTGTTTTCTTCCGTGGATTCCCACTGACTTGCTAGTGACCTGCTATGGTTTCTGAGAAGTCCACTGTGTAGAATTAATAAAGGATTGTTTCATTTTGCCCAGCCTCGTGGTCAAAGGTCATCGAAGAATAGAACAATCATGTGTTTTCTATAGATAGACATACACATTTACGACAAAGTTCCATGCAATTTCATGTCCAAGTCATCCAGTTTATTTTTTCTCTCTTTTGAAATCTGTGGTGTTGGTGTTGGACGAGGTTTCTGGTTTTCCTCGTCTCTTGGATCCTCGATTCCCTGAGGTCTTGGCTGCTGTGAGGCATCGGACGAGGTCGGGCTGAGACCGCTGCGACCAGGTCGCTGCGGTGGAGTCAACTGATCCCTGTTGAGACCTGGAAGCCCTGTTTGTGACCGAACTTACGAGATCGTTACTTTGAAGAACCATACAATCCCCGTGAATTGTTCCCCAGCTGAAAGTTCTTACTTCTGACTGGGTGGCTGATCCGGGGTCTTTGCCGGTGTATTTCTTTCCCCTGTCCTTCAAGTCCACCATCTGGGCGGAAGGAAGGGAAGCACCGGTCGAACAGGCTCTCGTAGCGGTGTGATGCAATACGGGAGCATTACAAGCCCATCAGTTGGTAGTTGTTCTAGTGTATCTGCTTCTGGGGAAAGATCCGGATCGTTAAGTTGCACGAATACGTGTTTGAAGGAATCTTCTCCACGATACGGTTTCAAAGGGTTTCCCACCCACTGTTGCACACAGCATACCATGGCATTTGTTTGCAACTTGCAACTAATGGGCACAGTGACTGCAAAGTGCAAATTGTCACCAATTTGATGTGATTGGAATGGGGAACCTTCCCAGCCAATGTTTTTTAGTCAATGTGTCCTTTTACTGTCTTAGCTGGCATGGATTCAACCAAGTAGTATTATCAGGATCAACAAAACATGTTCTCAGGATCACAAAAAGGTATAATTAATGGAGGAAGGAAGGAAGAAGGAAGGAAGAAGGAAGGAAGAAGGACGCGAGAAGGAAGGAAGGCAGGCCGGAAGGAAGGCAGGCAGGAAGAAAGGAAGGAAGGAATACTGCGGCAGACCTTTTTTTCTTGCGGTCATAGTCTGGCTTTAGATGGGCGAGGCGAACACGCACATACACACAACTGGCAGGTTGCACCTAGAGATAATGGTCTTTCTATGTGCTGCACTAGGACGCGTATTTTTTGTGCTGTGGCTGCTGGGAAAAGGCTCGTCGAGAAATCTGTCTAAAGATTAGCGACAGGAGCAAGAACAATATTTATTTTTTCGTGTGCAGCTGGTTCTGCTAGACGACATTGCTCGTGAGCCGCTGGTTCTGCATGCTGCTGGGGGGAGGTGTTTGTTTGCGAAAAGCCCTGGACAAGTTTTGGCCGTTGCACTCTTTTTTTAACCCTGGGTTAGGTACATTGATTTCAATGGTTGTTTGATCCGCCGAGGATAGTTTTTGTAGATTCTGATGCTTACACTTACTAGTGTTTCCTTTTGAATCCTCTTACCCCTTTAGCTCCTCCCTATGAATTTTCGCGCGCCCACAAACATGGTGTATCCTCCCTTTGCCATCGCATTCCCTTGTTGCCAGGGTCAAAACTCTTTGTTCTCGTGGGATTGGTCACTCGTTTGGCGGCCTTTCACGGAATAGTGAATGCCGAGTTCTTAGGCTTGGACTTTCCTTCCACAGATGGTGTATTTTGGTATATTTTGGTAAACTTCAAGACCTTTTGAGCAAGAACAGATCTGGCACCATCTGGGACTTTCCTTGGAGGACTGGATGTTTGCGTCACCAGGCCAGAGCCAATTCCAGAGTGAACGACCTGGGAAAGCTTTATTTCCGTCAGCTCGGCTGAAGAAAGCACTCAAACATGGAGGCTTGAGGCATTTGTCAGGTGAGAGGTTGGAGGATGTTTGGGTTCTTGTGATGGCACAGCTTTGCAGAGCCGGTAGGGTGTACACGAAGTTTGACAGATGACTGTGGACGAAGGCAGCTGGTTGGGTTTGAGCTGGACAGGTACTTGACTTTGACGATGTCAATCGAAACTGATACGTACTAGCGATGGCCTTCAACCTAATAGCGACGGCCTTCAACCTAATTGCGATGTCCTCCAACCTAGTAGCGATGGCCTCCAACGATAATATCCTTTCCTCTCCGGCATTGTCTTGGTTGCTGAGGTGAATGTCCATAATGCTGCTAGTGAGTCACAGTGAGTCGGCTTGATAGCAGTTTTGCCCTTCGACATCAGAAGACTCATGCAAGAAGACGCAATTGCAAGAGGAATGGAAGGAAGTTCGATTGGCAGCCTACTACTTCACCCCAAGGGGTGAAGTACTCATTGTATCATCACTTCTTACACTCCCACTCACTAACATGGAAATGGACAATGGCCCCAGGGAAGACCATGAAATCCACTACAAACAGGTTGGTGGTCATCCACGTAACCATGTTAGTGAGTCAGAGGGTAAGTTCTTTCCTGGTCAAATGGATCATGGGTGAAGTCGACCCCACAAAACCCGGAGACCTTCGAGTCGGACCAGTCAGGAGGTGCCAGGCCCGCCCGCAGAATGAGGGCAGGGCAGGTTTTACTGAGCAAGACCTGGGATCGGAAGTCCTGTGTACAAAGGACTCCAGGTCTCCATGTCTGGTCTCGGAGGATCTCAAAAGCTGTTTGGCTCGCTTGGTCACGAGGTCGCAGAGGTCACAGAGGAGGTTCGCACAGGTCTCCCACGGTCTTCCACACTTCTCTCAGATGTGGGGGGGGGACAGTTCCCCGGAGGGTGTCGTCCCTCCCACCTGGCGAACTGTGGATCAATCTTCGAACCCTCCCCGAGAGAAGCACTTGAAGACGTGACCGTGACCCTCCGGACTGACCTATGGCCCGGTGAAAAGTACCAGGTGAAGGTGTGATGTGCCATCCCACTGTCTCAATTGGAGCGCAGAGGGCCTTTGTAGAATCCAGGCGCTGGCAATGGATATCTATGCTTGCGTATGTAGGATAGCCATGGACAAAAACTCATGGATGATTCACTCCCTGGTCAAGAAGAATAGGCCAACGTGGATGACATGGCTCCTTCGATGACTTCGATGACCATTTTCCTGTATAAACAAGAGGTTTTCCACCTCCATGATTCCAGGGAGTGTAGATCAATCAGCACCTTCGACTCAAGTCGATTCGACCCGCTCTGCCCTACGCTTCTCTGTGATCACACGCTTGCAGATCTGTGTCGAAGGACGAAGAAAAGACGTCCACCTTTCAGGGAAGCCTTTGCTACTCCTGCGCGTTTGTTTCGGAGTAGCAACGAGCCGAGTCATCACACTCCTAAAACGAAGCATCCGCGGAACGAGTACAATCCGCATTGGTTTCTTGGCGGAACGTTCTTTTTCGTTATGACAAGTCAGTTGATGTGGTCCGTTGACCCATTCGGTCCTCTGAAACACGTGGTCGTTTCAACGACGGAGCGACGCGTCTGACGACGCACGGCAAATCGCCCTATCTCCCTTGTTTTGCGGTCTTTTTCTTCCGGGGGAAAGCGGAGAGCACCACATCCATGATGGTCCATTCCTTTCTGTTTGCGTCCACTGCGTCTGTTTGCGTCGCAAGAGGTGAGACGAACTGTTTTATAGCCTTCAAGTTGAGATGATTTTCCTGAAGACAAAAAGTCAGATGTTCACATAGGAAGGCTATATAGTTCATTTCAACAGGAAGGCTTCTGTTATACAGGCTTCTATTTCAATAGGACTCCTTCACATAGGAAGGCTTCTTACAGGACACCTACAAGACTCGATACGGTGCTTAACATTCAGAGGTTTCTGACATGTTTTCCACATACACACCTAGGTTTCACACTACATACGCTTCATATTTGCTTGCGCTACCTCTGCGATGGCACCATGAGGAACTCGTGCAGTCGAAGAGGTTTCAGGGGTGGATCGCCTGTTAAACCAGTAGAACTAGTAGTAGCAGTAGTAGCTAGGAAGCGTTGCAGATGCATGCGAGTGCCAGAGAAAGACCTGATCTCCTGTTCGACCCAAAAGCCACCAATTTTCAGCGATCAAATCGTTCAGCGCATGTGCTGTTCATAAGTGAGAGATTGCCATGGTGGCCCAGTGGCTCTGAAAGGGATGCTGATGGGACAGTCACGAACATGATGAAATGAGACAGGCACGATGTGGCACTTTTGCATGTCGCTCTACCTGGCTTCTTTGGCATCTTGCCACTTAGACCAGGGGGCAGAGCCGCCTTGGCCTGAAAACGATTCTGATTTTGTTCAATGAAGTTCGAACACTCGTCCCAAGTCCATGTAGTTTTCTCAAGGGTGTTTCTCCAATACGAGAACTTGTGATTGGGGACTTCTTGGCCGATCGGTGAAAATCCGTTGACAGCCTGAGGTCCCGAGACCCTTCCACTTGACGTAGGCATACACCTGGAGCAGACCTGGGGTACAACAGGTTTGTCTTTTCAGATGAACGGATAGTTACTGTACACCTTCCTCCTCCACTGAAAGACTTTGTTTGTTTTCAGGGAGAGTGTCCACATCACCATCCCCTGCTTGGTAGGGGACATGAGGGATGTCTCCTGTGCGATCCAGGCCCCGCGGAGAGTTTCTCTGCTACTCTCCTCTCTAAGAGAGAGTGAAAACCCAAGTACGTACACTGACACTTGATGAGTAACTTACATTCGAGTAGATTGCATCCCCAGAATTCGGGGAGTTTCCTTCTCTTCTTTGTTGCTTTGGGATGGTTCATCTTTGCCACCTGGTTAGTCTTTTCACCAGGAGTCTTTGGCTCTGTGTCGCCGTGCGCGACGGAGGGAAGTCTCCTGTCGGGGATGCTCGTAGCCAGGGGAAGCAGTTGCCAATGAGTCATGAGCTTTGGGCTGCCGCGAGCAAAAGAGCAAAAGACAGGTGGTGATGCCATCCGCTCTAGCCTCCAAACCGGAAACATGCAAGCACCAGCAAGCACCAGCGAATCCCACACTATACCTCCGCAGTGGCCATGTTGCCCCACATGGAAGATCAGCCAAACCAAGCAGGGTTGGTCTTCGAAGACTCAAAGAAACCAAAGGCTTTGGACGTCCTTCTTGAAACGATGAAGGCTTTGGACTCCGCTTTCCGACGATCCACTTGGGGTTTTGACATACTGGTTTTGCTGCTGCTGTTTATGGCCTGGGGGGCCATGAGGCGTGGTTCGGTGCCATTCACATGTTGTTGTTGTTGTTGTTGTTGCTGCTGTTGTTGTTGTTTTCAAATCGATGTTGTTGTCTGAGCAAAAGCCTCGTCCATTTCTAGAAATGCTGGTTGAGGTGACATGGTTAACGGGGCGATTTGAGTTGAATCAGCGATCGGATTGATATATCAAGCTGCACCTGATTGAGGGATGAACACCACTGGGCGTACTATGGCCATTGAGCGTCGCACCAGGTTTCACATGCCCTTTGCTTTGCTGTTCAAATCCTCCAAAAATTAGACTTCGAAAGCATTCATCTGGGATGACACCAAGCGATTCAACATGAAAAACCTGCGGGTTATGACTGCATGTTTTCTTAGAATATGTGGGTCTGAAGAGCCATCAAACTAGAGGTCTTTCTTGTAATTAATAAATTTCTATTGAGTTTGTCACTTTAGAACTTGGTAACTTGTGCAGTTTCTGAGGCACATGTGCCTCTTGTATAAGTGAGGAAGGGCCGCCTTTTTGAGTGGATTTGGGAGTGATTTGGCACGGGAATTGGCCTCCCGAGGATACATTTTGTCATTTTGTTGCATGTCTACTAGAAACTCCAGTGTCAATCCTGAACCCGCTGGACAATTTGGGAGTCTGACTTACACTGTGCAACTGACCTTAAAAGGGTGGTTGTCGCAACCAGCTGCTCACTGGGTTCTACAGTGCCGTATGCGCCGTGTGCTGTGCCGTGTACTGCAGCCATGGAAGGGAAAGTCTGCGTGGTGACCGGAGGAGCGGTTTCTGGGTACCGGCTCTGTGACACCCCCGAAGTATCTGAGACCTTGCTTCCTTTTCCTTTTTCTTTGTTTCTATTCGCGATGGCCTCCAACCTAAGAGGGATGGCCTCCAACCTAGGAGCGAGGGATTTGTGAGGGGAGGGGTGCGGTGCTTCAAGCGAGTCACTACCCGCACACTGCCCAAGAGAGCCATGGGGGTCAAGGTTTCCCAGACGCGTTTTAGTCGTTGTACTGTGCCAAGCGTTCGGAACGTACCAAGAATCCGAGGGGTTGCGCGTCCAATCTGATGACGTTTACAAAGAGAATCTGGACCAGGACACAGAGATATTTAAGATTATAGAATTATTAATACCAAGTCTTTGCGTAATATGTTTCTTTATATCGTTGTCCTAGCCATCAAGGGAGGTAGCTGAATTCGTGACATTCGCAAGTGTATAAGTGTACATGGGCTTTGGAGGCAGGACATGGGCAATGTATAATGTATACTGGTTTGTTCAAGGGCTCTAAATGGACAAGGAATTGTAATGGTGAATTTAGATCTTCTAAGAAAACAACTCTTGTGCCGGCTGGGCTATTTCAACTTGGTATTGTTGCCGGTTTCTTGTTTCCACCTGATCTGCAACGTGTTGAACCAGCTTACCATGCCTCTTGTACACGGACTCTTTCGTTTGCCCACCGACGCCTCCACGGGTCACGTGATGCGACCGAGATCTCGCGAGGTGGAAGCGGCATAGGACGGGCGGGACACGGAACCGCCCTAGAATTGTACCAAATGAATCTGAGGATCTACTGAACGACGAAAATGGAAGTTGACATGCTCGCCCAATCTGTATACATTACATACAGCATTTTGGGTAAGCATTCTGCAGTTCGCCAGCTCTTTAAGCCGAATTGATTTGTACATATTTGCACTATTTCGCGCGATGTTTGCAGCTTTGGTTCTGCCAGCTTCAGGAGCCGCGTTGTGCCGCCGCATGGCTGCGCTGGGTGCCAAGGTGGTGGTGGCGGACCTGCACGAGGTGATCGTACCCGAAGGGCCGTTTCAACGGTTCATCCAGCCAGTCCTAGAGCCTCCAGGTGGCTTGGTAAATGGGGGGAGATGATTGCTCCATGGCACTAAACAAGCGAACGGGTCTTGGGGTGGGATAGTTTCCGGAATTGGGGCTGAGCTGGGGTTGGATGTTGGAAAACATGCACCTCTCAAAGCAACTTTCTTCAGCTGAAGGAGCAGAAACTCTTGCAATCGATGACTTCCGTCAAGTTCTTTTCCTCTCTGCGAACCTTTTTTTCATCCAGGTCATGTGGGCCAGACGTGGGAAGAAGCTACACAACTAAAGTGTCTTGAAGACCGAGTGGGCAGGGACCACGATTCATCCGATAGGAACAAGACTTTGTTCCTTCCGACGACTCCGAAAAGAAGAAAACACCAGAGAACTTGTTGTTCTGATTGAAACACCAGTCTTGACGTCTGGGGACTTGGTCTCAGAACCCTGAACCCCAAAAAAGGAACTTCTTCCGGACTCCTTCTGATTTCCTTCGGTCTCCTCCCCGAGCCCCTCCGAACGTCGAGGAGACCGCCCAAGCGGTGGCCCAGCCCTTCGCGACCGCGCTGGCGGTGCGCTGCGACGTCGCGAAGGCGCGCGGCCGTGCACGGGCCGTGCGCGGGCCGTACCCTGCGCGTGCGGAGCGGAAGTGAAGTGAGTTTGGGGCATCCTTGGGCGGAACTCTGAAGCAATTTTGAAGAGGGATGAATTTGGATGCTGCAAGTTTGAAGAGTCATATAGAGTCTAGAGCTAATGTAAGCAAGAGGTCTAGAACACCACTGCCGGCGGGGTGATTGGACCTTTGTTTGGCTGCAATTGGTTTGACAGAGTCTGCTTTTTCATGACAGGTGCCGTAGATTTTGGGTGACACACCTGCCAGCTAGAGACTCTCTCTCTCTCTCTATGGCTGTAGGTCAGAACTGGGCCTGGTTGACCAGTGATGAACAGCATGGACTTACCAGGGAGGCCAACCAGCATTTGGAGCTCCAGTTGCCATGACCCATAGAACACCTGGCTCCCTTGAGGCAAAACTCGGAAAACACGCGAACTGTTCAAGTTGAGAGTCTGGTCTCTCTGTTTTCTTCTTTTTTTGTGGGACCGTAGTAACTATATGTAAACATGAGCATCCGTCGCGGAACATCGTTCCTATCTTATGATCTACGCTAGTCTCTCAAAAGGACCATCCAGGACCTTTGGAATGACCTTTTGCTTCAAGAGACAGTCCTGGACCAGGCTGAGCCTTTTGCTTCAAGCCAGTTTTGTTGCTCAAGGGGCACACCCCGTATCTTCAGATTTATAGTCCCAATCCAATGAAGTAGGGACATAGAAACCACCACTTGCGCATCCCAATCCATTTGGACGTCCCAAATCCACGGTTTCGACCCAGAAAGCACCACGCCCTCCACGCTCTTCTTCCCGATCCTCCCTCCCGGTCGCTGGTGCGAAAGCGCATGGCCCGTTCTTGCGGTGTTCTTCCGTCCAGGAAATGGATCTGCGACGCTTGATTGCCATCGCCGAGGCCGAGCCGAGCCTGGCCGTCTGGGCCGAGACGGCCAGGGTTTCGCTTCAAAACACCCCAAAACCACGGGTGGTTCGTCAGAGAACCTCAAGCAGCGTCTGACTGGTGTGATGATATAGATGGGTGTAGGGCGTACGGATGTGGAGGGCAACGCATTTTGTGTACTTCTTTTCTGAGTGTACAATTAGTAGTAGCAGTGTCCACCTTGCCTTTGTTACGTACCCATCCGTATACCATACCCGCTCATCAGTCTTTCTTTAGGGCGAACCTGGTGTCGACATCCCGTCCACTCAGTTTGCCGGGTTACCACAGGCCGTGTGCGAAGGCCGGGAGACCAATGGGGTGGTCTGTCTTCTTTTCGTTTCAAGGGGAGGTGTTATGTCGGTCAGCTGGTTGCCTCAATGTAAGGAGAGCTGGTTGCCTCCACCACCATTTCCGGTGTACTTGGGATTTCTACCAGTGCGGAGGTGTCTTATTGTGGGAGGATATTCACCCCCCCAAAAAACTGGGTGGTGTTGTCTTGTGGATACGAGCTTCCAGTTCTTGTTTTGTTTTGTGTTTATGTTTTCTGCTGTTTTATCGGTTCTTTTTGTCGTCACCTCCGGATTCCACGGTCCCGCACCATCCTCCTTCTGTACAGCTTTTGATATGAGTCATCCAGTTGTTGACTTTTCAAGCGGATGAAGATTTGGGGTCAAGGCTCTTGTTGCAGCTACTCTCTTTCTGCCTTTTCAAGGCGTCCTGTGGTCCCATTGACATCTTCATCTGCAACGCTGGAGTTCCTTCAAATGGCGGCTATGAGGCGTGAACTGTGGGACTGTGGGCAGCCTATTGGCGGTTTTTTCTTCTGAAAATGAATCGGGTTGAACCATGGAGTGGAGTGGACTGGAGTCGAACCATGGCCCGTCAAATTTCGATGCAATTTCGATGCGATCTTGGAGCACCGTCCAGGAGCGGAAGGTGTCGAAGCAACACAGAATCTTTTTGTAAATAGAATAACACCCACTTGGATTGTAGAACCTCTCCAATTTGGGAGAGGTTTTCTTCATCAAGATTCGAAAAGATGTCCGGAGTCCACACAAACCTCTGGGCCAGTCAGCGGACCCTGCGGACCCGGAAGACCTCCGTCAGAGTCTTAGACTGTTGGCAACTGCCATGTTGTTGTTCATCTCTTTTTCTTCGGTTTTCCATACACACCGAGCTTTCTATTCCGCCCGGCCGCTTCTACACTGAGCTCTCCGGCCGCTTCGAAGGTGCCGGACGACGAGTGGGAACGAATCTTCAAGGTCAACGCGTGGTGGCCCAGCACAGGAAGCGCAGGAAGCGCGCATCGCGCCCTGTCGGGGAGGACGCTTGGAGCGGGAACTGATGCTGAACACATCGGCACACGGAAGACGGTAGCAGGAAGCGCGTGCCATTGAGCAAGTGTTGCTTGTGTTGAAGTGTTTTGACTATAACTAAGACACCTTGCAAGGCAGCGTCCTAAGTGGGAAACGGGTGTTTGGATTTTTGACGTCTCCAGTTGTGTCTGTGTTTATATGTTTTTATTGTCATTATTACATGATTGTTTTTTTCTTGGGGGGTCCTCCGACGGTGAACCTTGACATTGTTTGGGCTGGAACTCTTGTGTTGTGGGTGCTCTCTGTCTCTATTCAAAAAGATCAACCGCACCGTATAACAATAATACATACAATAATAGTATTATGCACATGCATGTATGGAGCCTACCAAGCGCCTCGAGACGGAGAACAAATCCTGCAAACTCAACAACACCGCTTTCATTGCCCAACCACGAAATTATCGGCTCAAGTTTTCCCATGAATGTGACCCGGCTTTACCCGAGAGGAAGTTTGACACGATGGATAACGAGATGACGGGATGGCTTATTTTGATCCGAAGCCGCTCGGTTTGTAGATCTCCAGTCATGCACAACGTTCGCCTGAAGCAACTTCTAGAGGAGGAGACTTGGCAAGTGGAGACACGTTGTTCTTTTCCTCGCCATTGGGGAATTTATGGACATCTATATACTGTATGGGTTGTGTTTGTTTGTTTTTCTCCCGGTCTGAAGCTACTCAGCTACTCAAGGTGAGCACGAAACCAGATAGCTTTCAGAAGTTCGTGGAGCTTCTTCGCGAACCTGAGCAGGGTGTAGCGACCCTGTCGGAAGCGGACGAGATGGACTTCTCTGCGAGAGATGCTCACCAAATTCAATCTTCTTCCAGATGTGTCCTACTGCATGAGACGGAAGCTGGGCGATGTGCTCGTTGCGTGAGCCTTTGATCCTCCTTTGGAGGCACCCATCCTCCAACGGCCGGAACCCGCACCGGAGCCCTTGGAGGTTTTGGCTGCTCTGCTCAGCGCACATCGCGACTGAGAGGCGGTCATGTCGCAGACATTTTTCGTGAGAGATGTTGCAGTTTGGCAACACCTGTTCGCCACCCTTATTTATCATCCAGTGCTGCATTTTTCGTCATGCAACCACTTGACCCTTGCAGCACCATTTCAATTCGCGTCGAACGTCGGGTCACTTGGACGAGCATGCGCAAAGCGCTCCCAAAACTCCATGACGAAGAAAAAAGCCGCTCGACGGCCCTTCCCAACGACCCTTCCATGTCCAACTCCTTGCCGCCAGACGCATCCGGGCCGAGCGGCGTGTCTGAGGCAACGTTCCCCGCCCCGCGGCGCGCGCGAAGCCCGTGAGGTGATGCAACACGTTTACACCGCGCGGCACTTGTTTCCGCTCTGGCAACAGCGGTCAGGTGTGGTCCTGTGGGGGGGGGGGTGGCTGCGACCAGGTGTGGTCCTGGGGCCGCGAGGGGGCAGGGAGCTTTCTCGGCTTTTGGAGGTGTGAAAATGCCAGTTGGGTCTATTGGTCAAGGAGAGTTGGACAGGTCAGTTGCAAACCCAGTGGGCACTGAATCAACGTTCATGATACGATGCAGCCCTAGTTACCTACGACAACTCTGGATTTCGTAACCCAAAGGCCTGACCAAGTAGCGCAGGGTTTCTTAGCAGCTTACGCTGAAACCCTCAAGCTTGCTAAAAAGGCTCACTTGTCCATCAAGCACAGAGGTCTGGAGACTTCTGTGCCACTGTCATGAAGGAACACAAGTCTTTGGAAGTCCTCCGATAGTCCGTGGATGTTGGTGGTCGGAAGATCACCCATGTTTTGAGGCCATAAACGCTTCCACAGACGCACTTGGTGACACCCAAGTGATCCAAGTGTTCATCCAAACTCCTCCCTACGCAGGAAAAGTGGATAGCCATTTAAACACATTTTAACCTTTATTGAGATGTGTTGAGGTAGCAAGGCCGGCAACCGAGGTCCGGCAACGAACGAACCAAGGCACGCGAACGCGCGCCACCCGCAGCGCTTTTCAGCGCACAAGTCCCTCCCTTGAGCGGAAGGATACGGTCGGTCGAACATGGAAAACACTCTCAACCACTTCATGACTGCAATGCACAGCGTGCAATTGTCATGGGGGAGAAGCAATCGCGCCGTAGCGCGTGGCATGAGCCTGCAGCCAATTCTGGATGGAGACCCTTAAGGTGTATCCTCCTGGCTGAGCTGGTGCCGTGACGAAGTCGGGAGGCAGAACTCGTCCACTGCAAAGTTCACAGTGGAAGTACTCATCCTGCATCCGGACATCCCTGCCCGCTAGACTGCTGCATTCTGCAGTCAAATGGAAGCGGCGGCCTCTCCTGCAAATCAGGACTCCGCGCTGCAAAGGGCACTCAGCTCGGTGGTTGTCCATCTCTCGGACACAGGCTCTCAAAAGCGCCGCACCCAGCGCAAGCAGCTGGTTGGACATGCAGCTTTCTTCCAGGATCAGGTTGAGCGATCTCTGGAATTCGTCCGCGGCTCTCTGCGCCTCCATGGCTTTCAGCTCCATGGTGTTCAGCTCACCTTGAAGCCTCTTGTTCTCGAGACGAAGGCGGTGAGGGACCAAGGCTTCTTCCTTTTGAACCCCGATCTCTGAGGTGGTGACCTGGGTTCGACCAACGCTCCAGCGACCGAGCAAGAACATGGTGCTCAGCAGCAAACAGATGGCGGTGGTGAGGATGAGCTCAAACATACCAGCTCCTGTCTCCATGGTTTCTTCTTCGGTGGCAGCTGCCACTTGTGGTAAAAAGAAACACATCATGACCATGAAAAACTTCAGGGGGTTGCCAGTGACAAAGGACATGAGGTGCCATGGCTCGACATGGCTCGGACCGGCCCGGGAGACATACGTGAGCACTCCATTGGTGTGGGCCAAGTAGCCAGCCAGTTGGTGCTCGGTGTTCATCTCATAGTTCTCCTCGGGGAGGTGGCTGTCCAAAGGAAACTCATGCTTCCCAACTTCAACTTCACTTTCATGGCCAGGCGAAGGCGCCGGCATCAACTTCACTGGGCTGCTGGCGGTCGTGCTCTCCTGCAAGCTTGCTTGGAGCTCTTCTTTTGTTTTCTTCTTTGCAGCCTTGTAGTGAGGATCCCAGGTCAGCTTCAGCTGTCCATATCGAAGACGTTGAGCCAGGAGCGTTCTCGCGCTCTCCTTTGTGAGGCCATCAGCCATTTGGCGCTCCGAAGACATCCAGCGCAGGCTGCCGCCCAGAGACAGAAGGCGCTCCTTCATGACCCGCGCCTCCAAGGACACTCGTTTGTCCACAACTGAGCTGCCGACACCTTCACGGTGAAATGAATCGTACAAAGCCTTGGCGTCGGTCACCATGGTGGGCTCCAGAGGACACGGAGCTTCCAACAGCTCTTTCAGAGGTCGGCGAGGATCAAGGAGATGGTTCCAGTAGACGCACACATTCTCCAGGGCGTCACAGGCTTGGCCTCCGGCCTGAGCTTCTGCTCCCAAAGAGGAGCGAGCCACACGTGGAGTCTTAAGGCTCCTCCAGTCCAGCACGTGGTAGGCACCTTCGGGGCCATTGTGCTGCAACAACTCCTTGTTGATCATCAAGATGATGTAGCCAGCTTGTGAGCTGCCATCTGAACGTGTTGCGAAAGCAGCATCAAAGAAACACAGCACTCGCAGCTGGTTCAGTGAACCAAGATGCTCATAGCAAAGCCCAACATCGGAGTTGTCCTTAGCGAACTTGAGAAGGCGATTGCTGTCAGCCACAGTCTGCAAGGTGGCTCGTGTCACTTGGCCGCTCAAGATGGAGGTGCTTCCTTGTAGGTGAGGACTGGATTGAGTGGCAGGCCACTGCAAAGAGCCCAGCAGACCACGGAGTTGTGTCATCTCGCTCTCACTGAGAGATTCCGTGAGGTCTCTCTTCTTGTCATAGGCGATGGGCTTGACCTTCTTCATGTAGGCCGTTTGGTCCAGGACATGGCCTCCATTGGAGCTCGGCTTGATGTCACAGCCACAGTAGGTCAGGGCATCCTGGCCGTCATCGGTCTTCCACTCACGGAAGGTGAAGGTGTTCTTGAGCTTTGCAATGGTGTCCAGGTAGCACTTGGAGTCGGAGGATCCACATCCCAACATATCATCAACATGCATGATGATCATGCCACACACGCCAAAGCTTCCCAGAAGGTGAGGTGAGACTGCATCAAAGTCAAAGTCCGGGTTGAGGTCACCTTCGCAAATCAGGAAGCAGCAAGGATCCAGTGGGTGCTGTCTCAAGCCCATGGCACGCAGCTTCTCCACAGCAGCCAGATACCATGCTCGAGGAGCGTCGATCTGGCCATAGCAAGGCTTCAGCAGAAGCATCCTGGTCTCAGGACCAGCGCCCAACAACTGGAGGCATTCAGCAGGAAGTTGGACCCAAAGCTTGCGTGCTTGAGGTTTTCCTTGCAGGAAGGCGGTGGAGATGTCTGAAGTCCAAACCCCCCAGGACATAGTGGCGGCTAAACTCAGCAAGACGGACCGGGACAGCCTCGTGGTTGTTGGTGATGAGGTTGGGACTGTTCCATCCCAGGCGTCCGGATCTTGGAATCCGCGCACGATGAGGCGTGCTTTTGCCCGTGGGGACCCGTCAGGGTGCTTGGACCATTTCAGCAACATTCTGCTGGTCAGTGTTCTTGAGGGCTGAGCTTCTCGGCTTGTTTCGAAGGCCCAGACATTGTTGTCGAAGAAGGACTGAAGTTCTTTCACCTTCGCAGCTTTGAACATGGCACGTTCGTCGGGCGTCATTGTCCGCTCGGACAAGGTGTTGGCACTCTTGTTCATCTTCTTGTGGTCCTTGGTGTGCTTTTGCTTGACCATTTTTCCTACTTGTCGTGCTCCATGAAGTGGTGCCTTGGCATACATGGCATACTCCTTGCGAACGGAGCCCTTGATCTGGAAGATCGTTGCGCCAGTCCATGAGGTGGTGCAAGGTGGCTTGGTGCATGTGCCATCATCGGTGGTTTGTGAGCATCGGCCATTGTTCTCATAGATCACTGTCACCCGAACATTGTCCAGATCGTGTACAGAGAAGGGTGCATCATCAGGCAGCTGCTGCAGGCTCATCTTGTGCCTCCGTGGAACACAGTGGTGGCGTATCAAACATCCAGCACGGACTTCCCAGTAGTCACGCTCCCTTTTCTCAAGCTCAAAGTAGCCATTGCGGAAATACCATCCGCTGGGCAGGGCATTGGTGTCAATGGAGGTCACCTGAAATGCCTGAGACATGAGAGCTTGTTCTTCTGCCTCTCCTGGTTGTGGTGGAGCTGGCGGAGGTGCAGCTGGTGCCTTTGGGATAGCCTCAGGGCTAGGCGCTGCACTGGGTTCTCGTGATCCATAAGGTGTGTCCGTCATTCGCCGGTTGCGAATGGGACCAAAGGAAATGGTCTCCTGCAAATTGAAGCGAGCCCGTCGCTGCTGAAAGGTCTCTGTCTCGATGTCATGAGGTTGATACAGCGAGGCAGTTGCAGGATCCAAGGCCATCGGTGGCTCAGGAGGCAGATGAAGATCTCCATGAGGAGTGGGAATCGCAGGTTCTTCACTGGGTTGGGCAGCAGTGCTTGGCGGTCGTGATCTCGAGTGTCTGGACACTGGAGACTGTGGTGGACTCTGGGGCACTGGCACTTGTACCACATCAGCTGGTTGTGGTGCATCAGGTGGTGCTCGTGGTGATGTGGGTGCATGTCCAGAGTGTGCCGGTGAGGTCGGCGTGTAATCGCCACCATCGTCATCAGCCAGGGTGTGGGGCTGTGCTGGTGCTGCAGGTGGTTCAAGTCGGAGTCGATGTCGTGGTGGCTCATCAGGGTCACCATCATGTTCATCAAAAGAGCCATCGGCCTCATCCTTCATTTCATCTTCATCAACATCATCTAAGTGCTGTCGGTTGACGCGTCGAAGGTCAAAGTACCTGGTGACGCCGCGAGACTTCAGCTGTCGAACCTGGTTCGTGGCAGTCTGTAGGTCGTCCAACAGATGTTGAGGTCCAAGGATGTCGGCTCGAACATGATGTGGTGCTGCTCGAATGAGCTGAGTCTTGTAAGCCAACCAGTAAAGCTTGACCCGTTGGACCTTGTCATTGGTCTCCTCCTCCCTCAACACCACATAGGCGGGACCAAGCCAGCGAATCTTGTTGAGCAGACCTTGGCGTGCATCTCTCCAGAACCATACACGTTCACCAACTTTGAACTCTCGATT